TTGAATTCATAATTGAATATTTTACAATCTGATTGTCAAAGAAAATTAATGGCTATAACCCTGCCGGAGCAACATATCCTCAGTTGGAACTGTCTTTGGGTAGCCGCGATGAGGTATTCTTATCTATTTCATTTTAGTTATGTTGTATATATCAAGTTTTGATAATAAAAATTCTTTCTTTGGCGACTCCTTGCTTGAATTTATGACTATTGTTCGTAAATATTTTTCAGCAACCATCTGTGGGACCGGGACGACGCCGTCGTGGCCGTCCTTCGATCCGATTTGAATTGGGGGAATCATCATCATCAACATCCAATAAACGCCCCAGGACATCAAACTTTCCATATGTATGTACTGCGATTATAATTTTCTACTTTATCTTGTCTTTTTTAGTTGGTATGTCTGGTGTTTAGATACATATTAAAGAAGACTCTTGGCATATATATATATATGACTGTGTTAGATGTATCAAAATTTTTATTAGTACATCAAATAAAGTCAATTTCAGGCAGATTCATCTGACTCGGTTAGTTGAGTCTTCTTTAATATGTAATTTCAACATTTAAACATCGTAAAAAATGATGTAATTTCTGGTTATTTATTGAACGCAGGGGGGATCCAACCTGCAGGAAAGGGGGTCGGCTTCACAATCTCAAGTCAATCAGCCGTATCTTTCAAATCCTTTCAGTAGCTCAAGGTTGTTTCATGCATGGAAGTCACACTCACTTTTACTTTTAGTTTCAAGTTGCTCTTAATTAAATTGATTCCGATAATTTGTAAATATTTTCAGGCCAATTAAGAATAGCGTATATGATCCAATATTTGAGGGCATTGGTCTACCAGTTGATCCCCATCTAAGGCTGTTTAATGCTAATGCCAACTTATAACTTCAAGGTAATTATATTCACTTATTAATAGAAGTGTTAGAGGAATGAGATTAATTTTGCTAAATGCACAATTAAAATATGACTTAGAAGTTTGTTTATGAATCAAGTTGCTCTTTTACAGGACTGGTGTGGGCACTGCGTCGCTTTGGTGTGAAACTCTCCAACTCTAGAGCTGTTTGTAATTTCAAGTTCCCAAAGACTTCTTAATTTCCAGCGTTGTATTTTGTTGTTGTTTTTGATGAGGGGTTAAGTACTTAAGTTGATATTAACTTTCACCCAGTTATCTGATTCTGTTATGGTTGACTATAATTTTATAATTTGGTTCTGGTTCTTGTCTGTTTGTTAGTTTTGAGCATCACTATTGAGTATTAATTTTGAGTAAACGACTTTTTCCCACCCAAGGTTTTCCTTAACGACACTTCCCATCCAAAAAGTTTTAAAATATCACTTTTTCACCCAAAGTTAATATTATGTTATTACCCAAAGCCGATTTTGACTGATTCCAATAACAAAAATTTTCTCTGTCACCACCATTTAACCTCTGGTATTCTCTCTACAAAACCTCTTTTCACTTTGACACTTGATTTCTTATCGATTATCAGCCACCGTAAAGTTAGGGTTTCCTGTTTTTAGTTGATTTCCAACTGATTCTGGCAACAAATTTTCAATCCGCTACCACCAATTGATTCATCGGTCTTTACTCTATAAAACCCCTTGTACTTAGGCTCTTGGTAACTCGTCGAACGCCGACTGTGAAAGTGAAATACATTTTGGATATTAACAAAGTATAAACTTTGGGTGAAAAAATAGTATTTTAAAACTTTTTAGACAAAAAAGTATCATCAAGGAAAACCTTGGTTGGGATTCTTGGGAAAAAGGTCGTTTACTCCATTAATTTTCTATAGGAATGTTGTGGTATGCTAGATTTTGAACAAACCCTTAACAACTCAAGGGTCGACTTATTTGATCTTTTCAGTTTTCACTTTCATTTGTTACAATAGTCAAACTCAAGCGCTTTTTTTTTTTTTTTTTTTTAAGATGGGGGAGTAGGGAATTTGAGAACAACATGAGGACACAGCATGCCTTGCTTCAGCAAGATCTCTCCATTTCTTTGGAAGACCAAGGAATAGTTTCACGATTACTGTAGGTAGAGTAGTAGAAATGTAGAATTTTTGGGCATTGCAATTAGGGGTGAGCGGTTCTAGATACCCTGTATTTTTCGGGGAAACTGAAACTGCACAATGCAGGTTCCCAAAAAAAGGAACGGGAATCAGAACCGCATAGTATAGGTTCTTAAATTCAAGAAACCCGAACCTAAAATGCAGATTTCGGTTCTTTTCCCGAGTATCCTGTAAAAAATAATTACCCCCCTATTAGTTTAAAAATTGACAAAAATACCTTAAAAGTTTACAAATACACCCTTAATAAATTTTGATTACTCATTCATTTGTGTCCAATGTGACTCATAATTCCTCTAATCTCTAGACAGCACTTAAATTCAATTGATTCATCACAATTCATATAAAATTCTTTAATCAAAACCAAAACGCAAACAATTAATTAAACAATCATACTATAAATCTATAATTTAATATTATAATTAATTAAAATTTTAATTATTTAATTAAATATTATACTAATATTTATAATGAAATATTATAATTAATTAAGTAATCATACTATAGATCTATAATGTAATGTTATAATTAGTTAAAATTTTAACAATTTCATTAAGTAATGTACTAATATCGTAAATTACTAATATTACTAATATAATGTTATAAATTTACAATTAATTAAGAAATTATTTAACTATGTAATGTTATAATTAATTAAATGATTATAATATAATATAATGTTATTATTAATTAATTAATTATTTAATTATAATGTAATGTTTTAATTAATTAAATTTTTAATCATTTAATTAAGTATTGTACTAATATTTATAATAAAATGTTATAATTAATTAACTAATCATTTGATTATGTAATCATATTATAAATTTATAATGTAATGTTATAATTAATTAAATTTCTAATCATTTAATTAGATATTATGCTAATGTAGTAAATTACTAATATTTATAATATAATGTCATAATTAATTAAGTAATCATTTAATTATATAATGTTATAATTAATTATGTGATCATATAATAATGTAATATTTTAGTTAATTAAATTTCTAATCATTTAATTAAGTATTGTACAAATGTGGTAAATTACTAATTTTTATAATATAATATCATAATTAGTTAAGTAATCATTTCATTCTGTAATGTTATAATTAATTATGTGATCATATTATAATGTAATGTTATAATGAATTAAGTAATCATACTATAAATCTTTAATGTAATATTATAATTAATTAAATTTTTAATCGTTTAATTAAGTATTGTACTAATGTTTATAATAGAATGTTATAATTGATTAAGTAATCATTTAACTAGTAATGTATTAATATTTATCAATTTATTTTATATAATTAATTAATTACTAATTTATTACAGATATACTTATAACTTGATAATTGAAATAAATAACTAAATATTATATTATTATTTAATCAAATATACTACTCTATTAAAAAATTATTATTTTAATAATATTAAAATACTTTTAATTCCAATTATATGTTTAATTAACCAAAACTTTAATATTAATATATTAAAATTTTTTATATAGTGTAGTTTATACTTTATACGTAATAAGTATAATTGTATATTTATTTAATTAGGGTATTGTAAAAATTTAACTTTTTCCATTTTAATTTTTTTATATGTAGAATTACAATGGAACCCCCATTCTTCACAGATATTTATTTCAACCCAAGTTCCAAAATAGGGTACCCGCTGCAGGTTTCAAGCCGGGTACCCACTGCAGGTTCTTTTTTCCCGATTCCAGTTCCAAAAAAATGGAACCGGAATCTACTCGCACAGTATTGGTTCTGGGTAGGTTCTAGTTCCAGTTTCAGTTCTACCCACTACCCGTGTTCACCCCTGATTGCAACAACCCAGTAGAAATTCAGTGCGCCAAGAGAGATCTATTTGTTCTATACTAATTACTATTCTCTTTCCAATATTAAAATGGCTTTTGTAGCAACGAAACTGAAAAGCATATTTTCTTCTCGATCAAAGTAGTCAGCCCTGAACAGGTGTGGACGGCTGAAGGCACTAAGTTGGAGACTGGCGCAGAGTTAATGAAAGGAAATTCATAGATTATATAATATCCAAGAATAACATGACATAAACTTTGTATAGAAACTGAAGTGACGCAAAATTAAGGGATGAATACGTACAAATAATTAAATAATTACTCAATAAATGATGATTACTATTGTGATAATTCACTGTTAAATTGTCATCCTGTCTAAAAGCTTAAAATAATAGGCGACGGCTCACCAATAAGGCCCCTAACATCAAACTTGGATTTTTTTCATTTTTCTTTATTCAGTTTGTATGTAGAGATTCGAACTTGAGACCTTTGGCTCTCATACAATATTAAAGTGGTTTAGATAAAACTTACACCCAAAAGCTAGCTCAAGGCAGGAGAGAACCTAATCACATATATATACCATATCAATCCAACAACTTGGCGATGTGAGACTATTCAACTTCAATAATAATAAAAGAGTAATATCAAGTCAGTTTATATATAACATTACTCACTTCTCAAAAAAATAGAATCTATATAATCATTATTTCCAGAAGAACGAGAAGGGACATACAAAACAACTAACAGATATCTTAATCAAGACTCATTCCAGTTTGAGATTGCTCATGTGATCAAGTACTTAAAACAGAAACCAGCAAAGTATTGTTACAATCATTGCAATACAAGCGATTCTTTTCTCAACTGATTGCTGACAGAACAACTATCCCTCTTTTTGCTTAATTTTACTATTGTTCTTCCTTGGTTAAATGGCCATCATACTTTCAAACATATCAACTGCAAGGAGCGCATATAACAGATAAATTTTCAAAGAGCAGCATCAATGAAATATAAACCCATAAAAGCGACACAACATTTTTATTATCTTCAAGAGCAGGCAGTTGTAATATGTGTATGTCAATCATGAAGCAAAACAAGTGTTTTAATACAACCAACCTTAATACTTAGTGTTATCAAAGACCCAAGGCTCATGCAAGAAGAGCTCCCGGCCATTCATTTGCACTGTTCCTGCAGCTATATCCTCTGCACGTTTCCTAGCTGCCTCAGCTTTTCTAGCTGATGTATCAGCCTCCTATAAAAGGATAACATATACTACATTATCACACAGAAAAAGTAAAAAAATGTCCATGCATGACATATGATATGCAGTTGGATGCACATTCACCACAAAACATAAAAAAGGTATCAGCCCTAAACACAGATAACAAAGAAAGGAAACCCCCATTCTCATGCCTGCTCACTTCACAATGACCTAATCACTGGGAGAAGCTTAATTTCAGTTGTAAGAAGGTATATTTCATTTATAAATAATGCATTGAAATTACTACAGAGGTTGGCTACACATGATTTATGAACACAATTCAATTTGTCACTTTCCTCTACCATTAACAATCACTGGCTCATTGTTGATTTGAGAAAAAAGAGAAAAGGATTGTGATTTACAGCTTATGGTTTTCACCAAAAGCTGCAATCTTACAAAATCATCAGGTTAAAAGAGACATTTTAAATTAACGAAGCACCTTAATCCAACCAACTTCTAAACTATACTGGCCATCATATTGTGAAATGCCACACCAGTTTTCCCAATGAACAATATTGTATTCTCCATTGCCCTGCTATCCCTAGTTTGATTATTTAATTCCATCAAACCCTGCATAACAAAAATTGACATGCCCATAGATTTTAACTCCCAGTTCATCTAGCACACAAATGTTCATACTCCACAAACCGCCTTAGTAAATACTTTCTCCTCTAAAACTGAAAGTAAGACTCAAAAAGACAGATATAAATTCATATAACACCCAAATCGTTTTTTCAATAATTTAGATTTGGTTTGTCTGAATATAAATTCAATAACCTGATGCATAAAATAAATTCAAGACAACCGTTATCAGATTTTAAAATTTTGGGTCAGTTTCAATTTACATTAAATCAGATAATCCAAAAAAAAAAAAAAAAAGTAATTGTTCTACGAAGTCGAAGTGATTAAAATAAAAAATAAGAAAAGAAAAGAAAAGAAAAGAAGCGAGAAACCTTCTGGCGCTTCCAGGAGAGAAATTGGGCCGGGGTGATGGGGTTGGCCGTAGACGGTGATTTCTCGTTTAGTTGCTCTTCTTCTGCACCCATGATTTTCTTTACTTTTCCTTTCTTTCCGTCCAAACAGAGAGCCGATTCTTCTGACGGTATGATTTGTTATCGGTTTTTGGGGAACGAAACGGCGTCGTTTCTTATGTTTGACTTGTACGTATACTTATTAGTTTGATTTTCTACAGTTGGCTAGTTGCCCCTTGCCACGGCTACAACTCGGTATTACTGTTTCAGCGTCTCTTTTATATATATATATATATATATATATATATAACCTCTTTATAGTAATACTTTATATAAATATAAACTCTACATATAACCTCTTTATAGTAATACTTTATATAAATATAAACTCTACATAATCATAAAAAAAATTTATTTTTAATTTAAGATAATTATAAATAAGAATAAACTCTATATTATAATAAGTTATAATTTTTTTAATTCTTGTCTTAAGAAAAATTGTTTCCACACAGTAATAATTATCTGTACATTACAAAAAAAAAAAAGTTATGTTATATTAAAGGTTTAAGATGAAATAAAATATTTATCTAAAATTATTAAAGATAATGATTTATGCTTCAGACTTGTTATTATAACTTTTAACTTGCAGATAGATTACTCGCTAGCATTAACATCTTCTTATTGAAGCCAAATATTTATAGTTTCTCAAGTATATTTAGAGCTTTTTGGCACAAAACTTTTTTGTATATCCTTATGATTATCCTCATAATTATTTTCTTTATCTTTTTGTCTAATTGTAACAATGATTTCTTTTTTAGTTAAAACATACATCACTTATTGCTCATTTGGATGATTGAGAAAGACATTAATATCCATTCGATTAGTGTAATGAAGTTGTCGAATTTGATCACTAAATTCTACAATGATCCTTTGATTCTCCCCATTCACTTCATTTGTAACTTACAATTAATCGACATTGGGGATCCTAATTTGGTAATGATTAAAACAATTGGCAATAGTATGTGGCTTTACATCAATTTGCTCATAATTTTGTAATGATTAAAACAATTGGCAATAGTTTATGGCTTCACATCAATCTGACCATGCAGCAACTGCATTTACAATTCCATCAAAGATACTTATCTTTGCTGGTTTCTAGACATGATCTTTTATCCGTTTCAAAAATAGACAATTGAAGCGCTGAATTGAAATCCTAATAGTATTAAAACATCAATTGAAATTCTAATACTGTACTATTAAAACATGAATTATAAATAAATTTTTGTTACCACACATCTATTAAGTTATAACATTTTCATAGTAATAAAATTAATTAATCTAATTATTTTGACTATAGAAAGGTTTTTATATATATAATCCTTGATTAAATAAAAACTCTTGTATAAGGATATCTGTGTTTGAGAATTAAGTAATCATTTTATTATGTAATGTTATAATTAATTATGTGATCATATTATAATATAATGTTATAATGAATTAAGTAATCATACTATAAATCTTTAATGTAATATTATAATTAATTAAATTTTTAATCGTTTAATTAAGTGTTGTACTAATGTTTATAATAGAATGTTATAATTAATTAAATAATCATTTAACTATAAAATAATATTATATTTGATTAATTAATTATTTAACTAGTAATGTATCAATGTTTATCAATTTATTATAGATATACTTAGAACTTGATAATTGAAATAAATAATTAAATATTATATTATTATTTAATCAAATATACTATTCTATTAAAAAATAATTATTTTAATAATATTAAAATATTTTTAATTTGTTTTAATTTCAATTATACATTTAATTAATCAAAACTTTAATATTAATATATTATAATATATTAAAGGTTTTTTATATAGTGTAATTTATATGTAATAAGTATAGTGGTATATTTATTTAATTAGGTTAGTAAAAATTTAACTTTTTCCATTTTAATTTTTTATATGTAAAATTATAAGAGAACCCCTATTCTTCACAGATATTTCATTTCATCTCAGGTTCCAAAACAAGGTATCCGCTGCAGGTTCCAAACCAGGTACGCACTGCATGTTCTTTTTTCCAGGTTCTGATTCCTCCACACGTAAGAACTGAAATCGAAACAGCATAGTGTCAGTTCCAAAAAATGGAACCGAAACCTACCTACGTAGTGTTGGTTCCGAGTAGGTTCTGGTTCTAATTTCGGTTCTACCCACTACCCGTGTTCACCCCTAATTGCAACAACCCAGTAGAAATTCAGTGCGCCAAGTGAGATCTATTTGTTTTATACTAATTACTATCCTCTTTCCAATATTAAAATGGCTCTTGTAGCAACGAAACTGAAAACCATATTTTATAGTAGTCAGCCACTGAACAGGTGTGGACGGCTGAAGGCACTAAGTGGGAGACTGGTGCAGAGTTAATGAAAGGAAATTCATAGATTATATACTATCCAAGAATAACATGACATAAACTTTGTATAGAAACTGACGTGACGCAAAATTAAGGGATGAATATGTACAAAAAGTTAATTAAATAATTACTCAATAAAGGATGATTACTATTGTCATAATTGTTAAATTATCATCCAATCTAAAAGCTTAAACTAGTAGGCGACGGCTCACCAATAAGCCCCCTCACATCAAACTTGAATTTTTTTCATTTTTCTTTATCCAGTTTGTATGTAAAAATTCGAACTTGAGACCTTTGGCTCTCATACTATATTAAAGTGGTTTGGATAAAACTCACACCAAAAAACTAGCTAAGGCAAGAGAGAGTTCAACCACATATATACACCATAACAATCCAACAACTTGGCAATGTGAGATAATTCAACTTCAATAATAATAAAAGAGTAATATCAAGTCAGTTTATATACATAGTTTATATATAACATTACTCACTTCTCAAAACAATAGAATCTATATAATCATTATTTCCAGAAGAACGATGAGGGACATACAAAACAACTAACAGATATCTTAATCAAGACTCATTCCAGTTTGAGATTGCTCATGTGATCAAGTACTTAAAAGAGTTTCATTGACAAATATGCAAACCAAGGGAAAGGAAGACACTCATTTAAGATACAAATATCATTATAGCTGTCAGAGAAACCAGCAAAGTATTGTTACAATCATTGCAATACAAGCAATTCTTTTCTCAACTGATTGCTGACAGAACAACTATCCCTATTTTTGCTTAATTTTACCATTGTTCTTCCTTGGTTAAATGACCATCATACTTTCAAAAATATCACCTGCAAGGAGCGTATATAACAGATAAATTTTCAAAGAGCAGCATCAATGAAATATAAACCCATAAAAGCGACACAACATTTTTATTATCTTCAAGAGCAGGCAGTTGTAATATGTGTTTGTCAATCATGAAGCAAAACAAGTGTTTTAATACAACGAACCTTAATACTTAGTGTTATCAAAGACCCAAGGCTCATGCAAGAAAAGCTCCCGGCCATTCATTTGCACTGTTCCTGCAGCTATATCCTCTGCACGTTTCCTAGCTGCCTCAGCTTTTCTAGCTGATGTATCAGCCTCCTATAAAAGGATAACATATACTACATTATCACACAGAAAAAGTAAAAACCTGTCCATGCATGACATATGATATGCAGTTGGATGCACATTCACCACAAAACATAAAAAAGGTATCAGCCCTAAACACAGATAACAAAGAAAGGAAACCCCCATTCTCATGCCTGCTCACTTCACAATGACCTAATCACTGGGAGAAGCTTAATTTCAGTTGTAAGAAGGTATATTTCATTTATAAATAATGCATTGAAATTACTACAGAGGTTGGCTACACATGATTTATGAACACAATTCAATTTGTCACTTTCCTCTACCATTAACAATCACTGGCTCATTGTTGATTTGAGAAAAAAGAGAAAAGGATTGTGATTTACAGCTTATGGTTTTCACCAAAAGCTGCAATCTTACAAAATCATCAGGTTAAAAGAGACATTTTAAATTAACGAAGCACCTTAATCCAACCAACTTCTAAACTATACTGGCCATCATATTGTGAAATGCCACACCAGTTTTCCCAATGAACAATATTGTATTCTCCATTGCCCTGCTATCCCTAGTTTGATTATTTAATTCCATCAAACCCTGCATAACAAAAATTGACATGCCCATAGATTTTAACTCCCAGTTCATCTAGCACACAAATGTTCATACTCCACAAACCGCCTTAGTAAATACTTTCTCCTCTAAAACTGAAAGTAAGACTCAAAAAGACAGATATAAATTCATATAACACCCAAATCGTTTTTTCAATAATTTAGATTTGGTTTGTCTGAATATAAATTCAATAACCTGATGCATAAAATAAATTCAAGACAACCGTTATCAGATTTTAAAATTTTGGGTCAGTTTCAATTTACATTAAATCAGATAATCCAAAAAAAAAAAAAGTAATTGTTCTACGAAGTCGAAGTGATTAAAATAAAAAATAAGAAAAGAAAAGAAAAGAAAAGAAGCGAGAAACCTTCTGGCGCTTCCAGGAGAGAAATTGGGCCGGGGTGATGGGGTTGGCCGTAGACGGTGATTTCTCGTTTAGTTGCTCTTCTTCTGCACCCATGATTTTCTTTACTTCTCCTTTCTTTCCGTCCAAACACAGAGCCGACTCTTCCGACGGTATGATTTGTTATTGGTTTTCGGGGAACGAAACGGCGTCGTTTTTTATGTTTGACTTGTACCTACTCTTATCAGTTTGATTTTCCACAGTTGGCTAATTGCCACTTGCCACCGCTACAACTCGGTAGTATTGTTTCAGTGTATCTTATATATATATATAATAAAATCTCTATATAATAATATATAAAAAAAAACTCTTCATCATTATAAAAAATTTTATTCTCAATTTAAAATAATTATAAATAAGAATAAACTCTATATTAAAATAAGTTATAATTTTTCTAATTTTCATCTTAAGAAAAATTATTTCCACATAGTAATAATTATCTGTACATTACAAAAAAAAAAAAAAATATTATGTTATATTAAAGGTTTAAGATGAAATAAAATATTTATCTAAAGTTGTTTGAGATAATGATTTATGTTTCAGACTTATTATTACAACTTTTAACTTGCAGATAGATTACTTGCTAGCATAAACATCTTCTTATTAAAACCAAATATTTCTAGTTTTTCAAATATGTTTAGAGCTTTTTAGTACAAAACTTTTTTGTATTTCCGTATGATTATCCTCATGATTATTTCTTTTATCTTTTTGTCTAATTGTAACAATGATTTCTTCTTTAGTTAAATCATACATCACTTATTGCTCATTTGGATGATTGAGAAAGAAATTAATATCCATTCTATTAGTGTAATGAAGTTGCCAAATTTGATCACTAAATTTTACAATGATTATTTGATTCTCCTCATTCACTTCATTTGTAACTTACAATTAATCAACATTGGGGATCCTAATTTGGTAATGATTAAAACAATTGGCAATAGTATGTGGCTTCACATCAATTTGCTTATAATTTTGTAATGATTAAAGCAATTGACAATAGTTTGTGGCTTCACATCAATCTGACCATGCAGCAACTGTATTTACAATTCTATCAAAGACACTTATCTTTGCTGGTTTCCAGACATGATCTTCTATCCGTTTTAAAAATAGGCAATTGAAGCGCTGAATTAAAATTCTAATAGTATTAAAACATCAATTGAAATCCTAATACTGTACTATTAAAACATGAATTATAAATATATTTTTGTTACCATACCTCTATTAAGTTATAACTTCCTCATAGTAATAAAATTAATTAATCTCACCATTATGACTATAGAGAAGTTTTAATGTGTGTGTATATATATAAGTAACACTTAAGTTTTCAATATTCCTTGATTAAATAAAAACTCTTGTATAAGGATATCTAGAATATTTACTTTATAGTTACATTGAATTAAAATGCCTTCTTCAATAGTGGCAAACATTTGATACAATTGGTACTCTTTCTGATTACCCTCTTATCACACACACACGCTCACAACGTTTGATACAATCGTGAACTTCATCGTGGTTGAGATCAATAATTAATAATACCTTTTAAAAATAGCCGAAATTGTTTAGAGCCAACACAAAATCCCCCTTTAACAGTTGCTAAGGCATGCATCTACGGCTTCACCAACACTCAGGAAGATACACCCTTTTCCAATTCTGTCCACAAATTTGGCTAATTTCAGCTTGTGTATTACTTGCCACCTTGGACACCCCATTGCTAACTGCAAAACGCACAATCATACATTTTAATTTATTTTACATACTCAGAAGTTCATTATTAGTCACGGTCTCAGGCTCAAAATGATCTTACATCTATGCCATTTGAGGTTAATTCTTTATGCAGTTCTTCCAGTGCAAGAATCCCTGAAGTGTCAACGTTCATCACATCTGTATATCAGAGAAATCAATTCAATCAGTAAGAATGTCATTGAATCAGGAGCCAAAATGGTTTGTGGGTTGGGGTTATTTTTATGTTCTTAAAAACTAATTTGAACTTACTGGACATGTCAAGGATTACTGCTTGGATACTTTTCTTTGTGGGTTCTGGTAAGTCACTCTCTTCTTCTGTTACCCACTTAGTTATCCTATACTTAGTAAATATAACATTATCATTCATGGGTAGTAGTTAATAAAGATTGTAGCTCTTCTTTTTGTAGCTTATATGCACATAAATTCTTGCCTTTCTCTTACGAAGTTTGCATTAGCAAAGCAAAGCAAGGCAGAGTTGATTCGTATTGTTAAAATGCCTGGAGTTTCAATGGCCATGGGAAATTGACTCATCTCACAAAAGGTATCTGTTCTTGGAAGTCTCCCTAATAGTTGTAAGCTGGGTCTAATGGAATTCAGCAAAACCTTTGCAAATGAGATACTCACCTGCAATTCATAGTGGAAAACACTTAGTTTTTTTATCTCAATGTATCTTTTACTTCAGTTCTAGCATGGACAAATTAACAATTGCAGATGATCGGCACAAAATGTATTTTACAATCAATTAAACCTGGACAAAATATCTACTCCCTCAATCATAAAGTTTGGCAGAAAACAGTAGTCACAAGTTGGGAAAAAAGGCCAAACTTGAAGAGTTGACTTCCTACTTCGAAAAAGGACCCACTCTCTGATTAGGAATGAATTATTATTCGTCTCAATTATGAACTGGAACCCTCCAGTCCCCACACCATTCAAGTTCTTATAGATTAAATATTGAGCTTTGAATATCTAAAGATCACCTCACCTAACATATTTGTACTCATATACCACTTGCTTTCAATTATATTATAGTTGTCTGATAGCAAAAAGTTTTGGTTCTGATTAGTTTTCAAGTATATAATATGAATGTGAAAATAAAAGCTGTGGAAGTATAATTACCGCCACTAGAAGACCGATTTCCACAGATGCAAACAAGACCCCAAGAAAAGCTCCAATGCAAGCAATGAAGTCTAGTTTGTCAACCTTATATATATTGTAAGCTTCATGCAAGTCAATTAGTCCAGGAAGAGCAGACAAAATGATTGAAGCAAGGATGGCAATAGGTGTGTAGTACAAGAGCTTTGTAAACAATATCAGTGAAAATAGTACAGTAATGGCCATTACTATATTTGATACCACTGTTTGACATCCCGCGCTGAAATTTACAGCTGTTCGTGAAAACGAGCCTGCAGAATAGGCCAAATAGCAATCAAAATTTTGGTATGAATTAATTTGTATATGTAATCTTGAAATAGCTGAAGTAACTAAGGAGCTCACCAGTTGCCACATAGCATGAAGTTAACGATCCTGCAAGATTCATGAAGCCCATAGCTACCATTTCCTTGTTCCCATCAAGGTGGTAGCCTTTGATGGAAGCAAAAGACCGGCCAACAGCAACGGCTTCCTGAAATTAATAGTTCAATTTCCATTAAGAAAGATATAAATGAAATGGAAAAATAAGGGATAAAATATTGGTAAGTAATATGAACTTACAGTGAGAGCAATAATGGCAGAAATTAGTCCAATTTTGGCTGCTTGTCCAAGATGGGGTCCTTGGAACTGCAATTGATGGGCTGAACTTGGATTGAGGCCTCCTTTAATGTGTTTTACAATCTTAACTCCATGCTTATCGGCTCTTGTCATATACACAATGAAAGTGGATAATATAACTGATAGAAGAGGAGCAATTGCCGGAAACCAGAAGAGCTTTCTATTTCTTCTACCCTGAAATTAGAACAGGTTTATCAAGGCTTAAAAGAGAAGACAATTTAGTTGAGGAAAATTAAAAAATAATAAAAGAATTTAATCACTTACAATAAATCTGGCAAATAGGAGGAAGATAAGGAATGAACAACCGAGGACAAAATTCAGAGGATACCACTGCCATAAAGCACAGGGGAGAGACAGGATTGTCAAGTTTACCAATCAAACAGAAGAAATGGAGAGTAAGATCTATACTAAGACCTATTAAAGATTCTTGAATGAATTATTGATCAATAATCATTTTTGACCATAGGATTTGTCTCCAGTGAAATATTCGTTATGCTTTCTAACATTATGAAAGATATAGCCACTCAATATTCTTATTTCAAACTTTTTCTTCTTTTTTGTAAAGTTTAGATCTTCCATTGGAACTTACTGAATGGTGAAATGATGAAAAAACAGATTCCAAGACAGAGACCACATCAGTTTTGGTGGTGAAATGACTGATTCCAAGTAATCCCTTCAATTGCTGAAGGCCAATAACAATGGCTGCACCAGCCATAAATCCAACAATGGCAGCATGTGAAAGAAAATCCACCAGAAACCCCAACCTGCGGAATATATGTATCAGTAAGAGTAGTTTGTAAGAGAAGAAAGTTCATCTAGAAAGAAAAAGGACCTACCTAAACAACCCAAATACAGATTGGAAGAGACCCGAGAAGAAAGTAACAGTAAAAACAAGATTTCTGTAGGCAATAGGATCAGCTGCAGGATCTATTACTGGCTGAATCATGGAGGATAGGAGCATTGAAACCACAGCTACTGGTCCAATGGCTATCTCTCTTGAACTCCCCATTAATGCATAAATCAGAGGAGGGACAACACTTGTATCTAATGCAATCAAAACATACAAAAACAACGAATTAAACATTAATATCAGAGAATGATTCTTAAACTCATATGTTGTTTAAGTTACTTACATAGACCATATTGAGGATCCAGTTTTGCTAAATTAGCATACCCAATACTCTGCAAAACATTTTTGAAACATTCATAAGAAACTGATATAGAGTGTCTTGCTATAATTACTTTGCTCAAGAAACAAGCTGAAAGCAACAAAATTAGCAACCTGAGGAATGCTTAGGCTGCCAAGAGTTAAGCCTGCCATCAAATCGTGTTTAAACTTTGAGACGCTGTAAATTCTTCCCCATCTAAGAATTGGAAACAGGCCTTGCAAGACTAGAAAAGAACGGCTAGACCAAGTTTGTTTAGTATTTGATGAAGAGAGCTTTCGAGGAAAGACGATTTCTCTTATGGAACCTATGAGCTCATGCCATATGCCTGGAGGGTCTGGAGAATTAAGCAACCAATGTGCCCTCTCTGTCCGACTGGAATTCTCTAAGTCCAGTTGCTGCTGCCGCTCCTCCACCATGGTCTCAGTAGGCAATGAACCCATATTAGTTATGTTGTTTGAAGTGTTTGGGTGAACTCCCTGAACTAAAGTATTTATCTTCAATGTTAGATACCTGTCAAAAATAGGATAA